TCTGCGATCCAAACCCATGAACCCGGGCCACCAAAATGGAGTGTGCAGCACTTTAACCACTGGGCCACCAGGCCAGGCCCAACTGATGGATTTTTAAAACAGGAGATTTCAAAACAATATCGGACTTAGTTCTGTGCTTCCAGGCCCCTTGGAGGATGCATTTATTGGCTTCGGCTGGTAGGAGGATCTTTCAATGGGAGAATTTTAGGAGTACTGTGATGTACATTAAAAGGGCATGAGGAGCTCAGAAAGTAGATCATTTGAATAGCAGTTACATTTCTTTGCCCCCTGCAGGCCTCTGGAACGGGCCTATGCAAAATATTTTGGAACCAAGAAAGTTGCTGTCATAGTTTTGAAATATTGACTTTCTGGAGGAAATGAGGAAGTGCATAAAGTTTGCTGAGAGACCCAGGTGGGTTAGGAGGTGTCTTCAATGAACGTTCAATAAATAATCTCTACAGAGAAAAATCTGTGGTTTTTGCTCTTCGTAGAATGGAAGAGGTAAAAATCTTTTTCTAGAATTAGCCCTTTTCTGCTGGAAGTAGAGAACAAGTCATTTCTTTCAGAAAGAATGCATGATATAGTAAACACAGTCTGTCACACAGACCCGGTTTTAATCCCTAGCTTCAGACCTTGGACAGGAAAGTAAAGTTCTCCAGGTCTTAGTGTTCTCATCTGAAAAACGGGGCAAGTACAAGATGAAAAGGAATTAGTGGTGGATCCACATTTGTCCTCTCCTCTTTTTTGTTTCTTCTATACCTTTCCATGCCTGCCCCCATACCCTTCGTGCCTGGGAAGTCACAATGAATAGTACATCTCAGTTTAAATGGGAAAGTGGTGTTCTATGTTAGGAAGTCAGACCAAGTGACCCGGGTCTCCACCCACACTGAGATTCCCTCTGATGATCCAGGAAAGCTTTTTGCTAAGGAAGCATTTAGAGAAATAATCAACTGCCTAAAATGTAAACACGTTTAGATCCTACTGTTTACTGGCACTTCAAAATTGAATTTACACAAGAGGATGACCTAGAAACAAGCTGGGAAAAGCTGTGTGGCATTTAGATGCGTATCACATATGCATAATTGATTCCTTAAAAGGTTAAATACCCTTAGCATATGTATGGATAGTGGTATACCCGTGATGGGTTCATAATCATTATGGCAATGGCTTTGTTTTACATAATTCTAAAGTAAATGTCACGTTTCTTCTTTGGAGATTCCAGGACTGGCATTCAGAAAAGCATATGTTTCCAAGTAGATAGCTGGGTGAGAGGAGCCACTCTTTTCCCGAACAGAAGGACTATTCATGTAGCTAGTACACTAAGCTTTATGAGGCAGCCGACTGCCACTAAATTCTCTTTGGAATTGAAATGCAATTACATATCGAGGACAAGTGCTAAATATAAACAGAAAAGGCCAAATACATGACTTTTTTTTTTTCCGCTTTGTTTTTGCAATATATTTGCAGGAAGAATTAACCACCCCAAATACACTATAATCCTTAATTGAAACACACAGATCAGGCAATTTGGTGAATCCTTTAGCAGCTTTTTTCAGAAGCTTATTGTAGCTCCGAAGGACTGGTCTTTTCTTATGTTCATCAACAATTATAAAGATGCTAAGAAAACTAATAAAAGAAGCAAGTCACTGAGAAATATACAGAATGAAACACCATACTATATGCCACAAAAATCAGGGAAAAAATAGGCAATATGTTTCATGAAGATATGTGTGTAGCAGTAAAAACTATATAAATGGGAATTATTATTATAAAAATACAAGTTATGGGTGTCTTCTTTGGGGAAGGAGGGAAATACAATCTGTGTGTTACACACTGGGATTTTCACTCGATGAATGATCCATGGGTGTTTATTGTTGTTTTTAAATATTGTTATAAAATCTAGATGTGGTATTTTTCCTAATTTTTATAATTGCAAAATAACAAAGTAGTGAAGAGAGGATACAAGTTAAATCGGTAAAAAACCAGTGTAATATAATAATATTAATAAAGTAAATATGTTGATCTCAGGTTGATGGATGTATCTTCATATTGTTCTTTTAAAAAATTTAAATACATGCAAGACAACTATAAAACATAAGTCCCTAGAAGGGTTGAAGTAGAAAGATGAGAAAAGGTATACCAGATAAATACTAACAAAAGAAAACTACTGTAGCCTTTTAAATAATGGGAAAACGGGTCTTTAGGACAAAATGTAATGTTGTTTATTCTCTGTCTCCAATTCCTGTTTCTACCTTCATCCTCTGAGCCTCCTCCATCCAGGCATCTGCTCTAACCTTCCAGGACCTTTGATAAATCATCTCCGCCTATTTTTGTCTTATTTCTAATTAACCATTTTCAGAGCCTAGGATCTTTAATTTCTCAGCTCTGGTAGTACTTATTATCTGTGTACCACTGATTTTGGTGCTTATTATATGCTGTGTTTTTGAGTTATTGATATTCATGCATTTCTTTAATTAAATTGTAATATGCTAGAGCTAGAGACTATACCTTATTCATCTTTTAACACCCTTTCACCTCATCCTAGGACCTGCCATATGGTAGAACCATGTTACCTGGCCTACAGGAGAAAGTCAGTAAACATGTCAGCAGCCGACTGAAAAATGGCTTCTGAAAGCACGTTAAAAGCTCTTTCGGGATGTTTGAGTACTTTGCCAATGCTATGCATTTACATTTTCTAAGCAGTCTCTCTCCGTGGAAGTTTCAGAATGGAGGGAGGAAGAGACACTACGGTTGGAGAGTGACCTAAAGCTGTGTGGAGTTGGTGAAGCTAAGACCATAGCCTAGATGGGAGGGTATCGCTTTCTGGACCTAGCTGGGAACTCTCACAGGTTCATGACTGATCTTTAAGGGCAGGACTGTATCTAATAAGCTTTTTTCCCTCTGCACCTGGAACAAAGTCCAACATATAATATACACAGTCCATAAATGCTTCTGCAAAGGGGGAGAGAATTAAATATTAGTCTGGAATAATTTAATTCACTCCTATGGCTTCAAGACAACATACCATTGAAGGCTTCCCAGTGTGGGCCTTTAGCTCTGACTTTTCTCCACAGGAAGAAGTTGACTGGGAGGGTGGAGGAGCCAGACTGGCCCAGGCAGGATGCAGATGTTAGCACTAGAATTGGTACTCTAGGCTTAGGGGCTGTTTGGAGCAAAGCTGAGTAGAGTGGATTTGCTTCTGCCAGCTGATGGTGGGCTATGGAAACATGCAACAGATGTTGAAAAGGAGATGGGGAAGCCCATGGACTAGATCTTGTGCTTGTCCTGCTGGCCACCTGGAAGTAGCTAGAATTCCTCCTTTCTCATGACATACAAGATAGGCTGTCTGCTGCAAAGCTCTTTTAAACATACTGTTTTTTTGAATAGGCACTACATAAAGCAAATGGTATAAAATTCAAAGGTTACAGTAGGTAGATATAAAAGTAAGTGTTCCTACCACCTTTGCCCAAAGTTGCTCTCTCTAAAGACATCTACAGCTATTCCACGTATTTTTAGATATACATAAATATTTCTTATTTGGGTATATATGTGCATGTTTATATGTGTTTATATATTTTCAGGCAAATAGTTCATGTAATAACATGCTACATTGAATCTTTGTTTTTTCATTTAACAACTTCTGTTGTAGTTCTTTCCATTTTAATTTTTATTATCTTTAAAATTCTAGCCTCTAATATTGCCTGGTATACTGACAGTGTTCTACATTTGTTTGATGAGTGAATGAATGGATAATTTAATAATGGTCTCTAATTCATTCTGAACCTAGGAGTCACCCCCCAACAGGTTTCATAAACGCCTTATCTTACACCCCATCGCCAACATGCATCTTTTTGCCTATAAACATCATATCCCTCCCTCAAAGTTAATCTCACAAAATTTGTCATGCGGGAATCTTCCCTGAATATTTCCTCTCAGGCTTGCCTCCAGGGGTTATCCCTAAGCACTTAACAAGTCTACTGCTTTTGATTGCCTTCTGCTTCTTATTTATTCATATAATAACCTTAAAGATACGAATAATACTCAATAATAATTTTTTGTTGAGTACTTATTTGTGCCAGGCACTGTACTAAGCTCATTGTAAACATTATCTCGTAACCCCTACAACACGCCTATAATGTAGGTAACACTATCATCCTTGTAGCATACCTGTCACTGTCCTTCCAATATCACCTTGACTCACCCTTGAGATCATGAACAGACAGTTTCCTTATGTACCAATGGTTTCCAGCATCTCACTGCCCAGGTGACCTCTGGACAGTGTGCTTAGCCCAAGTGGGTAGGCCAGAAATGCCAACATATTGACACCCCAGAAGTGACCCTAATCAATAATTTGGTGGATCAATGCCCCAGCTTTCTCTCCCCTCAATGGGAAACTCTGAGCTGTGTTCTACCCAGTCACTTCTAGGGTCCCTGTGTGATTGAGCCTCAACTGCCCATAGCTGTAAACCCCTTGTTATCTCACTCCTTATTACCTTCCCTTCCTTCTCTTTTTCAAATCCCCACTTGCCAACTTCCTGGAGTTACCCCCAAATAAACTACTTACACTCAAATCCTTGTCTTAGCATCTGCTTTTAGGGAAATCAAACCTAAGGAAACTGAGGTTTAGACTGTGAGTAACATGTGTAAGTTCAGCTGTACATCAAGTGCAGATTCACAAGATGAACCAGAAGCCATGCTCAAAAGCACCGCACCTTAACGGCCAACCAAATGCTAGGTGCCTCAAAGCAGACCAGTGAATACTGTGCTCCCTCCATGGTGTGTTTCAAAATGTGAGCCAAAGTCAGAACTTAACATGTGCTTCTTTGGGTCAAGGCCGTTTTATGCTTTGGAGTGTCTCTTTTCCGCCTCGGCACATCAGGACATGCATTTTAGGCACTGGTAGCTTAACACATGTGCTCAGAATTTGTTATTAAAATTGTGATTTAAAAAGAGTTTCTCATGCTTGTTTAGTCGCTGAGTGTCTTCTTCTTGTTCTACAGATAGCAACTTCATCCTTGCAAACGCCCAGGTGGCTAAGGGTTTCCCCATAGTCTACTGTTCTGATGGCTTCTGCGAGCTTGCTGGATTTGCCCGAACTGAAGTCATGCAGAAGAGTTGCAGCTGCAAATTCTTATTTGGGGTTGAAACCAATGAGCAACTGATACTTCAAATAGAAAAGTCACTGGAGGAAAAAACAGAATTCAAAGGAGAAATTATGTTCTACAAGAAGAATGGTGAGTTGGCTGCCTTTGATTGGTGCTCATTGGGCAGTTGTGAAAGGTCACCTTCTTTCAACTCAGTAATTGCTCTATAACTCCCATTAAGCTTTAACGATGTTTCACATAAATACAGTCTGTTACAGAAGTTCCACAGATGCCTTGGATGATGGCCTTGTTTTAGCCATTAGCAGCATACACTGCATGAAAATGTAGCATTAGAATTATAACTCTCTAATGTCAGTATATTAACTGAGCTAATATATGTTAAAATAAAGTGTATTACTATTCTATTATGGTCATTCTTAAAATATGTATTAGATATGATCATTATTAATATATTAACAGATGATGTTTTATCCAGAGATATTTTTCCAAATTTTATACCTTTAAGAACCACATCTCAACCTCAGTCATTAAGGAGAGAGATCGAGTGTTTGCTGGAAAAAAAGGCCATTAATTTAAAGGAGATCAGCATAGTCATTTTCTCTTCTGGTTCGCTGGCCACAGAGTCTTTCTCACTACTCTTTTAAAGTCTAAAGACAAAAAGTCTAAAGGGAGTAAATTTGCTGGGCTCAAAACTGCCCCTGGGGAAATACTAGGTATTTTCTTGTGGTCGCAGTTTTGTGACTCTCCTCTAAAGGAAAGAGAATCTAGTCTTCTACAGATGGGTACGGTACCTATAGTGCTTGGGTCCTATGTGGGAATAGATATCCTTATTCCATCGACCCTGGTAGATGGGGTGAATCCAAGAGGCATTAAATTGGGGAAATGAAAATCAAAAATGAGAACCAACATTTTCCATTTTCTAAAGTTCTATCTCTTCCTTGAATAGTTTTCTTTCTTCCTTTTAGTAACATAACCCCCTGAGTTTTAGCTGGGCACGTGGTGGTTGCCAAGGTAGGGAACGTATTTCCTGGCCTTCTTTGCAGTTAGATTGTGCATGTGACTGAGTTTTGGGCCAGTGCTTTGTAAGAGGGATTGATTTATGCAACTTCTAGATAACATTTCTAAAAAATGAAATTGTTTGCTCTTTAATTTCTCTTCTTCTCCTTTCCCATGGTGTTATGGTCTGAGTTGTGTCCCTTCAAATTCGTATATTGAAGCCTTAACTTCCAATGTGACTGTATTTGGAGATGGGGCCTTTAAAAGAAGTAATTAAGGTTAAATGAGGTCATAAGGGTGAGACCTTAATCCAATATACTAGTATCCTTTAAGAAGAGGAAGAGACACCAAGGATACACACACACAGGTCATATGGAGACACAAGGAGAAGACAGCTAACTACTATCCAAGAGAGGCCCCTTAGGAGAAACCAATCCTGCTGGCACCTTCATCTCAGATTTTCATCCTCCAGAACTGTGAGAAAATAAATTTCTGTTTTTAAGCCACCCAGTCTGTGGTATTTTGTCATGGCAGCCCTAGCAAACTAATGAGTATGGGTCAGAATGTTAAGGTAAGGTTGGAAAGTCAGCGTCAACCATTTGACAAGGACAACATCATAGAGGAATGCAGAGCAACAATATGGAAGGAACCCACCCCAGACAAAGACAAATACATTTCTATTTTGTTTGAATCACTATATTTTGGGGTCTTTTTGTTACAGCATTTAAATCATACTTTAACAATCTTGCACTATTGACATTTTGGGCTGGTAATTCTTTGTTGTGGGAGGCTGTCCTGTGCTTTGTAAATGATTGGCAGCATCCCTGGCCTCTATATGTTGCTCTCAATACTTAATATTGAGGTCATTGTCGGGAAGAGAAATAGGAGCCTGAGCATGGGAACTTCATCCCCTCTTATAAGTTATTTGTCATTGGAGGACAGTCCTTGATTATGTGAATTTTGGAAACACAGTAGTCATGAAATACTGGAGAATGCCACTCTGGGAGGGACAGGATATCCAATTCTTTGGCACTAGGAACACAGTTCAGACCATTGTGTCCTTCCCAGTGTCAATAGATAAGGCCTACATAGCAAATATGATAAAAGAAAAGGATTCTAGCTCTATCTAATTATACCACAATCATTGAAAAGAGGGCTTGAGATAAAAGAAAATGGAGGATGTTACTGAGAATGCAGACTGGTAGGGAATGATAAAGCTGCCATCTGGTGAAACAAAGGGAAAAGGAATATCCTTTGTCTGAAATATCTGCTGACTGCAGACTTGTCCTTCTTAAGATAGGTTCCTTGTATAGGTCACTGCAAATCCGTTTGAGTGTCTTCCCTTTTAAGCCTCCTCAAAATATCCAAATGAGGCAGCACTGAGAAAGGTTCAGGGGGAGAGGGAGAATCTAGGTGAGAGGCCCAAAGGTTGGAGCCTTGGAGTCCAGATAGGTAAAAAATATCGAGCACAGGGTGGGAGTCATCACAAAGAAGAATTTCCTGAGCCCTGTTTTTTGCAAGATGCTTGCAGCCTTGGACCCCTTTGGGTGGAAGTCATTAAAGGTATCAGTCCCCTCTAAGCCAAGCACTATGGGAAATTGTCTGGCATCGTGAGTAAACTAATTGATCCAGATATAAGTGATTAAAAATTGCAGCTTCCTCTGTACTGATCATGCTGTGGTATTGCTATCTTTATAAATATTTCTCTCTACAGACAACTGTGAGCCTTTGAGGGCACAATCTACACGTTAGTTATTTCCACAACCCAGTGCATAGAGTTTGAGTCTAGAGCAGTGTCATCAAATGTTAGTTTCTCAGAAAATGCTTGCTGAATGGAATTGAAATTGAGTATTAAAGGGACCTATGGACACTTTACAGGACGTCTGGATTTCTGACTTTTGAACATGTGCTTACGACTTTAAGGGTCCTCCTTCTCTCCTTCAAAGCTCATTTTCTTTTAATATACTTTAGAAAGTGGATGCTCATCTCTCATCCTCTCCAAATACATTTCAACAATTTGTGATGGAGCTGCTTTGCTTCCTGGCTCCTCAGTGTTGTGCTTGTTCTCTTGACCTCATGGGAAAAGTGATGGGGAAAAGGCTGAACTTTCTCTTCCTACCCAGGCCTGTAATTCCAGTAACCTGGTCCAAGACTGGTGATGTGCAGCAGAGCGTTCTAAAGGTTTGGGACATCCAGTGGGACTTATCATAAAGGAAGACACGCTCTGATCAGGATGGCAAGTATGCTCGTTGACTGAGTCCAAAGAAAATATAAATAGGAAATCCTTCACTGGCATTGCCTATTTGGCAGAACCCAGTTCCTAGTCATGCTTTAAGTCTTGAAGACTGCCCTCCTTCCTTCTCTACTCCACCTAAAGGCAGCCCCCTCTTTCGTAATTCATAGGGTGAATGTCCCCGACTTCTTTAAGAAAGTCATAACCTGTTTAAGAAAATCTTCTCTACCCACCAGTTACTCTCCCTCAAGGCTCTCTCCTCCTCTCCTGACCAGGAAAAAAGGTGGGATACAGTATTCTCCAGAAGAATCCCTCCAAAAATGTAGGGTAATTCAGCCCAAATAAAAGTAAAATAAAACCATAAAAGAACTGGAAGAACAGTCCATGTCTGGTCTTTTGTTATCTCTGCTCCAACACGCTGTGAAGTCATGCTGCCTTCTCTCTGTGGTATTGTGGTTTCCTTGAGGCAGCTGATAGAAAATAGACACACAGAAACGTGTACGCACACACACACCCCTCCTAAAATAAAGAATACTTATCAAAGAGAGTATAATCTTTTAAAAGGTCAATAATAATGACTAGAAAAATAATAATATCTAACACTTATATATGTGTTCACTTATAGCACTTACGATGTGCTGAGAACTTTCCCACACGTTTAACTTTTACTTATGTTAGCCTATTTAATCTTAGAACAATTTTAAGAAAGAGATATTCTTATTATTGTCATATTACAGATGAGGAAACCAATATAGAGAAAGAATAAGGTGTTTCACAATTAAGTTTAATAGTTAGGAAGAGAAATAGTTTCACAGATAAGTGTAATTTACAAACTTTTCTTTGTCTAAAATGGAGCTAGGAATATTTTACATTTTTTTGTTCAGTAGCTAATATTTCTCATTTCTTGTCCTCCCTCTCGATAGTCCAGGGTAAACATATATATCAGAAATGAGTACCATTAAGATGCCTTTTTAAGAAGCAGTCGCCTCCACTTCTGTTGATATACAAGAGGTATTAACCAGGGCTGCTGTGGACAAACAAATGTATGGCTACCCTAACTCAGGGTAATCATTTTATTAACTTTTTGTTTATCTTCTCATTTAAAAAAATATATAAGCAATACATATATCTTTGGGGTTCCCTCCTTTTCTTACACGTAGCATACTTTGCACATTGTCCTGTACCTTGCAGAACAACATGCATCCTGTACAGCTGCGTATACCTTCCAGAACAGTACATGCTGGAGATTGCTCCTTCTTTACAGCTGCATAGTATTATGTCACAGATCTATCAAAGTCCATTCAACCAACTTCCTATTGATAGACTGTATTCCTTTTAAAGTGCGGTGTGTTTTCTTTGCTTTCTGTCTCTCTCTCTCTTTTAAGTACTCCTTTTGTTATTTAGAAAGTTTTGTGTATTTTTCTAAGAGTTATCTTTTATGTGAGATGTTTATATGATACAGTCCCACTTTGTAAAGATTTTTATCTTCATTTCCTACTATAAGCAATGTTGTAATTAGCCAGGAGCCACTTCTCCCTCCTTTCTCTCTCCCCCAACTCCTTTAAAGGAATGTTCCTTTAGTACCAGTTACTACCAATAAGACAGTTAGCGTGCGTGGTCTGCCTTCCTTATAGCCTTGGCTTGTTCCTCTTTCGCCTCTTCCATAGGTATTGTTAGCACAAATAGCAATTACATTTTGTCACTCTTATCTTCCATCATTTAATCTTATTGCTACAGTTAAATATGCTTAGTGATCACCATGTATTCTTATCCTAAAACTCCTCCACTCATTTGCTTGCTTGTCTGAAGCTCGTTCTGTGAGCCATCTCAGGAAGAGCTCAGGGGAACTGTTTTCCCATGAGCTCTTGCATGTTTTTTTGTTTTTTCTGTTTTCTTTTTT